CTCTCTCTCTCTCTCTCTTTGTGCCTAAAGGCACAAAACTTTCTCTGAGGGGTCTGTCTACCCCAGTGATGACCTTCTTTCTTTCCTCTTTTCCCCATTGTTCCCTTCCTCCCTCCTTTCCTGCCCTTTTTTAACCTTTAAAACGGCTGGAACAGATTAATCATGTTTCAACGTATTCCTATGGGAAATGGTGCTTTGAGTTACAACCAACTTGAGTTATAACCATCATCCCGGAACGAATTAAGTTTGCAACTCAAGGAACCACTGTACAAAGAAATGAGAAACGACAGAACTGATCAGCCTTCTTTTCCAACTGTGAGTGACATTATTAGGAACAAGGTTCCCTCTAAGTTCGGTGTGCGCATGCGCCTCTACCTCCCTCTGCGCAGCTGGCTTCCTCCTCGACGCAGCAATCACATTAGGTTCTGTTACAATGGAACCCTGCATGGGGGGAGTTACATGAACGTGCAGGGGCAAAGAGGCGAAGCCTCACCCAATGGAGCTGAAAGTTAGAGGGTACGTTGATTAGGAAAAATCAGGAACAGGCCCATGGTTGTGGAAACAATACAAATAGAGGAAGAGGTGATACCTTTAATCAACCATTAAAAATATGAAACAAAACAACTGAAAACAAAAAACAAACAGCGAGCTTTCAATGATAAAACATCTTCTTCAAGGCTGTGCATCAACTTCTCAGAGGTAATTCCAACTTATATACTTTTATTAATGTGCCAAATCCACATGGTTGATGATGCTGAAGCCAGGTTTGCTTCTTAGATGGTGAGAGTGCCGTATGCAAGTTGTTTTCAAGCTCCTTCCCAGCTGGTAGTTTGGAATTTATGGGCCATCTCTTAAAACAGAGGTCAGGCAGAGGTGGGGCATCATAAAGGTGAAGATTGGAAGTACCCAGGTTTTGCTCCTAGGACATACCGATCCCTACCCAGCTGGAAAGACCCCAAAAGGGATCTGAAGACGTATTTCAGGAAAGGAAGACATTGAGCAATCAGTGGCAGCAATCTGAGTCTGGATGATCAGCGAAAAACAAGATATCCGGCTCAGAAGCAAACATTGCAAACACCAGCTAGGAAAGGGCCATCTTGGCACAAAGCCTGGATATAAAAGCTGGTCAAGAATTTATGCCTGCTGGATCTCGACAAATTTGATTAAGGAAATGAAGGAAATAGAAATCCTTGCAAACACTTTTGCAGACCATAGTCCAATATTACTGCAGTTACAGACAACTTGCAAAGTTCAACAATGGAGATTAAATACTTTTTTAATGAAGATTTTCGGAAGCAAATAAAAGAAATGGAAAATTTCTTCAAAATAAATATGTTACCAAAAACACATATAACCACAGTACAGAAGGCTGGAAAACGTTTCTTCAGGGAATTTGCAATAAGATTTCCACAAGATTAAAAAGAGAAAAGAAACAAAAATACAGAGAATTAGAGGAAACACTTAAAATAAGTGAATGCCCATTTAAACAAAATCCATCGATAAAAGATTTGAAAATGAAGATTAAGCCAATACATCATTTTAACACTTTTTGACTGAAGAAATGGTAAACAAGATTAAATATGCAAAACAAAACTTTTTTGAAAATGCAAACAAACCTGGAAGGTGGCTAGCATATAAATTAAGGAAAGAAAGAAGTAAAACACAAATTCAAGATTTGAAAAATGAAAAAGGTGAGCTAAATATAAAACAGGAAGAAATATAAAGAATAACAGAAAAATCTATCAAAATCTGTATTCAGAAAAAGAAACATCAAAGGAAAAACAAACAATATTTGAGAAAACATATTAAGATGAAATTTTCTGAACAACAGAGAAAGATATTGAATGCACCTATTTCAACAAGAGAAGCGGTAGAAGTCATAAAGAAACAAAAGAATGGGAAATCACAAGGCTCAGATGAAATACCAGCAGAATATTATAACATTTTTGAAGATGTTTTAGTGAACCCATATAAAAAATTAATAGAGTATACTGAACAGAAAAGAGAAATTCCTCCTACATGGAAAGGAGCTATAATATCAATAATTCATAAAGAAGGAACTGAACTGGAAGAAATAAAACTACAGATGCATCTCACTATTGAATGTGGACTATAAGATATATGCTTCATTATTAGCAGACAGACTGAAAAAAGGTCTTGTCCATATAATTCATGAAGATCAGTCAGGCTTTCTACCAAAGAAACAGATGAGAAACAATATTAGGATAATATTAAATGTATTAGAATATTATGACACACAACCATGAAGAGTGATGGCTGTGATTTTTCTTGATGCAGAGAAGGCCTTTGACAACATCAATTTGGATTTCATGTTAAAACAATCAGAAATCATGGAAGCAGGAAAGGACTTTGTTGAGGCTATAAGGCAGGGGTCAGGGAACTTTTTTACCTTTTACCCCGCAAAAAAATTACATATGCCGACATTACCCCTTGATTCGAAAGGAAGGAAATCATACATTATTTGAATTAAAAATATTATTGAATCTACACAGGCTGTGTACCGAACTAGCAGGATGCACCAATTTGATAAAGATGTGCACTATTTTTGCTAGAACACATTGCACTCCAGCCATGGTGTGGTACAGGGAGTAGTAAGGTGTCCAATGTGCCTAGCAAGTTGCATTAAATTTTTGCTAGCTTGCAGAGGATCATTAGTGGCTGCCAGAGTGGTGCTAGCAATGACATGCTTTCTAGAGACAGCCAACGCAGAATTGGGGGAGGGGTGTTTCCCTACCACTTTAATCATTCTATGTGTGGTGTGCAAAAAGGAACAAACCAGGCTAAAGGTCAAGTCACCCACCCTGGTGCCACAGCCCAATATCAAAGGACCAGTGTGCTTTTTTTATCATCATCAATGGAAAACTCAGCAGTGGTCAGAAGATTGGAAAAGATCAGTCTACATC